TTGGTTGCATGGTGGAGGCATCACTTTTAATCTCCTCAGATAATGAAATACCTCTCGAAGAGAGACGTTAATCTGCTGGCTGAGAACGTCTTATATATTTCATTTTACGCGTCCCCGGTGGGGGATCGATGTAGATGTTGCTCCCAGCACTTGCAGAGTGTGTAACTTGTAGCACTAAGCAGCATAATCATGAGCCCTGATAACACACACACGCGTCTGTAATACGATGCAGTTTCAATATCCCCGTTTAAGGGAGGATAGATCAATTTTTTCATGCTAAGACCGTTAACCCCTTTGGCCGGCCAGCGTTACCCTGGCAACAGTGGTATGTCCCTTGATGAGAAGCACCTGTTTTTGCGCTCTCACAAACGCGCACACACACACACACGCACACAATCTTAGGAATGCGTACACAGGGGTGTGTGAGTAGTGAATCAGGTTTAAATGGATTAAACATAATAATCTTCCTCTCTCGAGCCGACTGATTTGACACACAGACACACACTCTTGCAGCTTTTTTTCATTTGGCAGAATTAAACTGACTTTTCTGTCTCCATACATTTGAGTGGTCATATGTGTGACCATCCGATTCCAGGGTGTGTGTTGCTCTGTAGTCTGCGGGGGGCTTGGTTCCGGCACTCCCCGGGGACATCTGCTGCATGTGTGTCACTATGACGACTGCATGTTGTCCAGCGTGATCTCTTTTGTTTAATTTGCGCCCCCCCCCCCCCTTTTGGTTTTAACTCCGCTTACTTAGATGCCCTCTCCTCTCTTTCTCCAAATGACTGCAGCATGGTCTCTGTAGGTCTTCATCGTTCCCCATCTCTTCCTCATCATTTGCCATTTCCTCCCTCTGTCGGCTGCAGTGCTCTATTCTCCTTTTCCCCTCCCCCAGCTCTCTCACCCCCATCATCCCAAATGGCCCTCCGGTCAGGACGCAAGATGATTAGTGTTATATCCAAGGTCTTTTTTTCTATATATGTTTTTTTTCTAGTTTAAGCGATGACCAACTGGTCTGAAGTAAAACAGATTTAAATGATTTAAGATGACTCACAAAAACTATAAAGAAGTCATATTTTTTACCGGGAAATCTGGATGCAGGTAGTGTTATTTTTTGGTTGTAGTTTAGCATTTTTGTGTGGATGGAATCAAATCGTTTGGGCATGAGGCATTCTGGGAAACATTAAGTGACTATGTGCTTGCCATGTTTGTCTTTGTGTCATTCAGCTCTCAAAGTTGGTAATCATTTGCTCGTCGTTTTACTGTAAGTGCTCCTGCGTGATTCTTCAGTGCAGCAAAATCAGCTTTGGGCGTTTGGTGTGAGGAATTAATGTGATTCACTTGTGCCTCTAGGTGCATCTCCCTGGCTTTTCAAAATATGTTGCTGGGCGTCTTTTTGTCATGCTTTCAAATTGCGAACAGTCATTCGTTGCACTGTCTGTGTGTGCATGTGTATGAGTGTGTGTGTGTGTGCCTTGGTTTAATTATCCAACTGTTGCTGAGGGTTTTCCAGGGCAACGACGTCCAATTCAATCTTTTTGCTGGGTTTGAGTTTTCCCTTTGAATCCGTTCTCCCTCTCTTTTGATGTCCTCTGCACCAGTTGTTGCCTTTGAGCGTGCTGCTCCGCTTGCATACGGTTTATTATTTGCTGGTCGGTTCTTTGCCGTTTGCGCCGGAGCCGTGACCTCTTTGTCCAGCTGCTGCTCTTACATTTTCACTTTTTGGGTCAGAACCTCAGCTTTGACTTCGTTTAACAACTGTTGCTGATGCCTTTTGCCTGCTCGCCCAGAGCAAAAACAGCAGTCTCATACCAACTAAGTGTTCGATATAAAACCTTTTTGGCTCTTTTTGTAAATCATCTCCATTTTTTCTGGAAATTGAGGTTGATTCTCTCATCTGCTTTGCTACAAGGATGTCTGTTTCCTAAGTTCCTTGTAAGGGGTTTTTGGCTGTTTACAATTCCTCTGGGAGATCTTTGTTTTAGCCTTTTCCTGATAGGACTTCATTGGATAACTGCACCTGTCAACAACCTGCATTGCGCTCCCCGTATCCATCTTTCAGTTTTATGTTTTTTTCTGGCATTTTCCCCTGCTGTCCCTGAATTTTTTGTTTTTATGGCCTATTTTCTAACTGCTCCCAATAGGAGATAAAACTGTTGATAGCCGAAAAGAGTACAGATGATAATACAAATTTCAGCTCTTGCATGCATCTATGAATTTGCCCAAAAGTAGAATAATGTCTGCAAAGCTCTGTACTAACAGCACTTCTAAACAATCCCCCTGGCTGCCTTTCAGACACTTCTCAAGGGCTCATTCCTCAGCAGCTATCCAGCTGTAAGCCGTCCCCCATCTGTTTATACCCGGAGGACCCTGTGGAGAGAGGTGTCACAAAACGACAAAAGCATTCGCAGAAAATAAGTCCCTGCTTCTTCTGTGGACACCATTTTCCCCCTCTTTTCGTCTTCTGCTACCTGACTGACTGACTCAGATTTAATGCCTGAGATTTTTGGGGCCCATGGTAGCTCCTTATATGGAAGGCTCGGCTACGGTGGAGGCTGTGGTTTGAGTCCCTCCGATGTGTTTGTTGGGTGAGGGTTGAATTTGGATTTCTGCCCTTAATTCCCAACGCGCATTCCTCTTTCGATGAGTTTTCCAGTCGGTTATTTTCCATGGCATGAGACAGAAGACCGCCACACACTGATTATCTATTTTCCAAAGCTGCTGGTTTCTTTCATCAAGGCTTGAAAGCGCTCGGACACAGAGCGTGACAGCTCCAGAAGGTACAGTCAGAGTCCTCGGTTTGCTCTCTTGTGTTTCATAACATTGGTCTGTGAGCAGCTTTCACAGACAAAGAGATACTCAGAGCTTTTATGAAGGGCATTCACAAAGTTTTAAGAGATGAACTGTGTCTCGGAGTGATGAAGCCGATGACTTATTCTGCCATTTTTCTTTTATTCAGCAAGGAAACACAGACTCCCAACAATAGTTCCATGTAGCCTTTTAGTAAAGACTGTTTATGGAAATAAAATCAGCATTTAACAATCTGTTTTCAGATCCATCCATCCATTTTCTGAACTGCTTATTCCCTAATGGGGTCACGAGGGGACTGGAACTTATCCCAGTTGTCAATGGGCGAGATGTGGGGTACACCCTGGACGGTCCGCCAGTCCATCGTGGGGCCACACAGAGACACACAACCGCCCACAGTCAAACTCACTCCTAAGGGACATTTGGAATGTCCAATCAACCTAACATGCAGGTTTTTGGACTGTGGGACGAAGCCGGAGAACCCAGAGAGAACCCACACAGACACAGGGAGAACATGAAAACCCCACACAGAAAGGTCCTGGTTCCCCCGGGCACTGGAACCCAGAATGAGGCGACGGTGCTAACCACACCAAACTACCGTGCCGCCACCTTGTTTTCAGATCCATCTGCAGATTTAGGCGTTCTTAAGCTGACAACTTCTAAATAAGGCATTGCCCCATCATCCTGCCAAAATAATAAATGAACAACAGTTCTCAAAGCCACATGCATCTGCAAACTTTGAAGAATCCTGATGAAGTACGCTCCGCCGTATCCCTTTGTTTCAGACAGATGCATTTCCTGTCAGTCTGGGAGCAACATGGGCAGAGGATGAAAATGAACCAGTGGCTGAATCTAAAGTATACACAAGATGCGACGCATGTCCTTCACGTAAGAATTAATTGGAAAGCTGACAAAAAGTCCCTGATTCCTTTTGCTGCCGTTCCCCAAATGCTCCGGTGGTTTTACAGCAACATAACACTTATGAGTGAGTGTCAGGGTGTGTGTCGCTGTTTTGATGTCGCAGCTCGTGTTCATAGTGATCAATGTGTCACGAATAACTTCGGCTTAAGACACCCAAAACCAAAATAGTCTCAAACCCTGTTATTTAACATAGGGTTGTGTTGTTTTCCGTGGGTTTTGCAGACGGTCCGCATCATTTTGCATTACAGTTGTCGCGTTTCTCGGTTGTTTAGAGTTTTTCTGATCTTCCGCAGCTGGTGGAGATGCCACCTTGTCATGAGCCGGGCGGTAAGGCGCTCCATTGAACTTCCCGGACACGTTGGCTAAAGGATCAGACTGTCATTTGCTCTGTGAGCAAACCAATCAGGACCAGAGTGAAGCTGACACCTCGTGTAACGCCAAGTAACACTCACACCAACTGCTTTTACATGGTTTCTGTGAATATTTCCCCTCCCTACCAACCATAAATAGCACTGATGGGTAGAGGGAAATGTTGCCATGGTGACACAGTGCTGTGGCAGCCAGTAATTATTCTGGTTTAAGTGCCAGTAGAGACACACATGAGCTGGCACATGGTGGTAGATAGTGACACCTGGACCCAAGCCTCCCGGACGACGCCTGTGGAGGACTTTATCAACACTTTGACACGATAACATTTGGACTTCCTTCTCGCTCATATGTGAGCCTTTTCACGCAGGATCTGGAGATGAAGCTCAATATTCGCATGGTTATTCAGTTTGATATATTCGGCTCCGGAGTTTAGAAGTGAGCCACTGCACCATGGGGGAGTGTAGAAATGTCTGCTCAAAATGAGAACTACTGCAACACGACAGTTAGACACAATGTGTTATATGATGCCGTAAAACTATGATGTCACTTGGTTATTATCCTCTCAGTTTCATGGACTAATGGATCAATAATGTAGACTTCATTTCTGTCCCATGTGCATGATACAGAGAAGCATATCATACAATGTCTTTCTGGCTAAATGTGTCTGTGTGTGTGTGTGTGTTTGTGAGAACGAGCTAAAATGTGTGTCTCTGAAGTTTCGAGTACCCTCAAGTTCATTTGATAGTGGAATAAAAACAAATTCACTATTCCCTCATTGCTCTCCTACTCCCATTTCAGCGCAGCCCACACCCCTGCATAAACACACACACACACACACATACGCCCACACAAACACAGCAACATTCCCCTCCCCTCTCTAATTTTTATCTGCTTTCTTCCAGGCGAGGTCGACCCGACTAATCACCCAAGGAGTCAAGGTAAGACGGTGTTTCCCTCACAGCAGATACTGACACCTGAAGCAATGGGAGCTCTGGTGTATCTTTCAGATACCCCCCCCCCTCGAGCCCTTTGAAGAACAGGTTAAAATTGTCCTCTGCAGCACAACACGATTCGCCACATAACTTCTTTGCTGCAAGAACACGATTAGTGCTCACCCCCCCCCTCCATCTCCCACTCTCCCCAGTCACATTAGCATAGAGAATCAGAGAGACACAATAGAGTTTTTCACCGCTCGCACCTAATACACACAAGCTGGAGACACGTCGCGCCAGACAGGAGTTCGTCTCGCTCATTCAGGGCACGAAAGACGAGGAAAGGCATATTCATCTTTTTAATCGCTGCCAAATGCAACAACAAAAAAAAAAGAAATGGGAAGAAAAAGCATATAAACAGGGAGTCAACACACACTCCTGACTTTGTGTGTGTGCCTTTTCTCGCAGTTGTTCATCTTAGATGTCACCTTTTCAAACTAATCATCTTTTTATTCGACACTTCACTGCTCCCCCCCACCCCTCCACACACAAACACACACACACACATCTGCAGAAATCACAGAAACAACCAACACAAACCCCTCTCTCCACATTTATTTGTTTGACATTTCATGAGCCTCAGGCACACTATCTCATTCTTACCACCTCCCCCCCCCCCCTTTCCCTCTGTTATTGTGTCTCACCCGCAACTCATCTGTGATATAATCAGGGGGAACCATCAGTTCAGCGAAACCCAACTTTAGCTGTTAGACGGGGACGTGATGCGGTTTCCGATGCTGTGCGCAGAGCCCAGATAGCGGTTGCGGAGGATCTGGTTGCGAGGGGCCACTGCAGCAGACTGCCTGCACTGCGGTCTGCCTCCGCTCCGTCCTGCCACCTGCCGGCCGCGCCTGGTCACAGCACGCAAGCCGAGCCTCCGGAGGCGCAGAAATCAGAGCAATTACAGACCGGTAGCTTCCCCAAATCCCCGGAAAAAGCTCAACCTAATGCTGCAAAATGAAAAGAGTAATTTTTTGTTTTTTTTTGTTTTGCCAAATCCTGATGTGCTGCACCACATATCTCTGTTTCAAAAGAGCTACACAGCTGTCCAAAGACTATTTAAAAAAATACTTCGGTGAGCTTAACCGTGGCAGTTTATTGAAATGCTTTTAGTCATAATGGAAATGTGCACCGAGGTGTATTTCACATCCTGTTCTGGTGCCATTAAAGGCGCTAAATCCAGAGCTGTAAATTGTAACCCGCATTTAGATATTTATTTTTGTTTCGAGATTTTTTTTTCTAAATGTAAACTGTTTAAGGATTATATATTTCAGGTTGAGAGTCACAGAGGAAATCTCTTACACAATATTGAGTTTAGTTTTTCTTTTTAGTTTTAGTTTTTTTCATCATCATCACTTAGCAGCTGCAAAATGAAAAGTGTACTAAACTGAATATCCAACGTGCATTCCACAGCTGATTCATTGTGAAACAGGAACAAAAACACCATTTTAGATCAAAATACATTAAAACTAATAACTAACCCTATTTCCTGACTGCAGTGTATCAAGAACGAGTGAGTGAAACTGTCCTTTTTAAGTTGAAGGCCTTTTGAATTTGGGTCCCACACTTGATGCCATTAGATCTTTGTCTATACAAGATGTTGATTTTTAATGAATGATTATTCATTGAAATACCATTAACTCAGTGTTAATATTTGATATGTTGTTACTATTTTCAAGTAAATATTACATTTAAATTTTCGCTGACTGCCAAGTTGTTTCTTTTAGGTTTTTGCTATGTCATTTTAACCCCTCCGTGTTTGTTTGTGTGTTTTTTTTTAACAGCTGGTACCTGTCCGATGTCCGCCCGTCCCACAGTGTGATGCGCCATGGCTCCGGTGCTGAACGGAGTGTGGTGGGGGCCCGAGGCGGGCATCGTCCGCTCGGGGGTGGCAGCCTCCGCCGGCGGCGCGTCGTGGCTGGGGAGTGAGCAGTTGGTCCTGGTGGTGACCCTCAGCACCCTCACCGCTCTGCTGCTGGTGTCCATGCTGCTGCTGCTGTGTGCTAGCTGCCAGGGGTGAGCACTCTCTTTCACACACTCACACACACACACACAGAGTGTATTTACAGTGTCCTGAATCAAAGCCCGTACTGTTCTTTGTGGAAACCCATCACTTCTGGATGTGAAAAAAGGCTGACGTTTGTTTTTAAGAAGCCCTGTTTTTTTTTGGATTGATATTTTCTGTATTTCTAGTTCTCAGAACAGTGCGCAAAGACCTGAGAAAGTATACTGAGCTGGAGGCAGACTGCCAGCACAGAGTGACAGTAAAAAAAACAACAAAAAGCTCTCTGTCGTAATAATGCTTAAATATTACAATAATGAGTGAATATACTCTGTTCTACCTACAAAGAAGAACAATATTCAAGCCCCGTATGAAGTATTTTTTGTCATTTAGAGATCATTTAAAACAGCTGTCAATCCAGTATTAAAAACTCCATGTGGAGTTTGCTTGCCGTCTGCTTGTATGCATTGGTTTCCTCTCACCATCCAAAAACATCCACGTTAGGTGAACTGGTGACTCCAAAGTGACCCCAGGAGTAAGTGTGAGTGTGCGTGGTTGTGTGTCTCTTTTGTCTCTGCGATGGACTCGCTTATCAGTTAGAAAATGGATCAAAAGTTATCAAAAAAGCGTCAGATATCTGACCCTCTGGGATGGCTACCTGCTCAAATGCAAAGGATTATATTCGGTTTTGCTCGCAAATCACGTTTCCATTCAGTCAATTGGAACAATTTGATGAATGGGTTTTTCTGTTTGAACAGTTTTATCGACCGCTGACGGGAACTGCCACCGCTTTTAATTACATTAACATACTTTGATATCTAATTAACGCCACCATGACAGACTAAGCCAGTAATATTATTGTTGAAGTACAATAAAAAAAAAGAAAAGAAACAGTGGACTGGCCGAGTAGTTACACTGGATTGCATCAGCATGTACCGGTGTACCTTTCAAAGTCTACGAAGGTTGTAGATTATTAAAAAGCAATACCTAAAATAATGAAAGGCCTTTTATTCTCTGATAGAAAACTCCGACCTTGCCCTGCACAGTGTTAGATCATCATTCACAATACTCTGTTCTCTCATTTCTTGATTTTTCTTTCCTTTAGGCAAAAGAAAACAGTAAATGGACATCCAGTAGGAGACAACGAGAACCTGATGAATGGAGTAAGTTTTTTCCTGGAAAGTTCTGATTATAAACCACAATTTTATAGAAGCAAGTCGATCATTATGAGAAATACTTTTTAACATTTCTGGGAAGACTAAAACTCTGATTAGGGTTCAAATTCCACTTCTTGGGTGTGCGTGATTTACATTGTGTATTTCCTCTCTAGAACACCGTCCAGCACACGTACAAATACAACCCTTTTTTTTCTCAGTTGAAGTTAAAATATCTACATGCTGGGTAATTATGTAGACACAGAAACTATGTTAAAGATACAAAAAAGCCCCAAAACAAACAAAAAGTGTGCCAGAGTGGTATATGTGTGTAATTATGGCTGAATTACGCTTTCCTCCCAATGTCTGATCACACCCGCTCACGCCCCTGACACTTGCCTCATGACATGCACAGAAAAAGCCTCCGCGCTCACGTCTGATTGACGCCTTCCAGTTGTGAGGCGGATAGTTTGTTGATGGCCAGCAGCTGCTGATGGGGAAGTGGTCACTCCTGCTGAGATGTGGGAATTTCCACTCCTGTTCTTGTGTCATTAATTTTAATATCGAGGCTGCTATTTGTATAAAAAGCAAAAAAGTCACCAAAAAGTCAGCGATTTGGAATAGAAAAATTATCGTAATTTACAGAGACTAACCATCTTTACTCATAACCTCACACTAAGGATGATCACCACATTCCCCTGAAGAACAGGTCGTTGGCAAAAGCTGTAATTACCCATTACTGTGAGACTGATGCCTCAGTCGCTGGGCACCATTTCAAGGTGACAAATGCTCATTTTCCTCAGTCTTTAGTCGCCTCTCGATCACTTACCGAGTCAATCCGTCTGAGCGTCTGTGTACGTGTCTCTCATCCGTGCACGCTCGCAGAGCCTTTTTTACATTTGATGGATATCTTCACCGCAACCTTGCACGTCAGCGTAATTTGCCGGCTTGTTACAGGAGGTGCCCATTTGTGTGACGGACCATGTCACAGCCTGACAGGTTCAATGGGGGGGGGGGGGGGGTTCTTTGTCTTTGTGCTTGAGCAGATCAGCTCTTCTTCTCTCTGACTGCCCTCTGGGCCCAGATTAAACAAAGTTATCTTTTAATTCAGTCTGAGATCAGAATAGGTGAAGAGCAGAGCTCCTACTTACTAAAGTCCTGTTACAATTCAGGCTGAATTTAGCTTTGTAAAAGATTATTTTGTAGCATGTTTATTGTTTTTCAGATGTTACTAAAGAGAGCTTTGATCAATTCTAATGAATAGTCTAATGAGTCCATATCAGATGTAAAGAATGAACTGATCTTGAACAGGATTCATTGAGATGAAACAATGGGATGAATGACAACACTGATGCCACAAAATAGTTAAAGATTACATCATTGACACCGATAGACATGACTGCGTATGACCGCTAGGTGGGGTTGTGGAGCTTCTTTCTACACTGCACTCCGCTCACACATGCTGCAGAAAAACAAGTAGTCTAAACAAAGAATACTCTTGACTTGCACTGTTTCACATTTTCTGATCTCTGTGACTCAGTGATGATTTTCCGCCCCAGTGGAAACGACAGTTTGTGCCGAACGCAGGTAGAAACATCACACCCCGGTGCCCTGCACATCCTGTGTAAATTAGTTTGCTTTTCAGTGGCTGATATTTGCAGCAGAGTTGTTTTTGAGCTCATTCTGCTCGCTGTCGATTTGGATTCTGACGGACTAACTAGAGAGGCTGATTTCTTAATGTTAGCAGGAGAAATCAGGAGATATTGTCGATTGAGGAGATGCCTTTTAAGGTGGAGAGCGTGGTCTCGGCTGCCTAAGCAGACAGCTGCTGGCTGCAGAGCTCTTGTTGTTGCAGAGATTTTATAAAAGGATGGTCACTGTTTATGCGTTATACTTGGATCATTGTCGGTATCATACATCTGTATCATACTAGTATCATAATTTAGCTGTCCACAGTTCAATTACAAGGCTGAGCTGGGCTTGGTTTTGTTGTCTCCCCTTTTATAATCAATATAAGATTATGAACCTAAAATTGGTTCTGTCTTTAGCTGTCTATGGTCACAGTTATTTTTCGCATTTATGGATGTCTTTGATTGGGAAAATAACCAACATTTAACGTAGCACGATTAACTCTTCTACACCGGGCTTTAAGCTGTCAGTGGTGTTATTGGAAATGCTTTAACCTGAACGGGCAGGGAAGGTCCAAAATTGGAATCAGGGCTGCCAACATTTTTTCAAAAGTCGGAAGAAACAGAACAAATTCCCACAGATGATTAAACTCTGCCGCCACCAGCTCTGGTTTTGCGCAGAGGTGTGGAACTGGGCCATCCTGAGAAAAATGACATGTGAAGATTGATTTCAGTTGAGGGGTGAGGTGGACTCGGGGCGCAGCGGCGTCTAAAGGCTGATCCGTTTTTGTGCAGGTGTCGGAGAAAGAAACCAACAGCCAGTCGGTGGACAGTCCGGTGACTGACGCGGCCATCAGTAGCTCTCACAATGGTCCTTTAACCAGCGGTACAAGTAAGTGGAGACATTGAGCATCAACTTTTTCATGCCGTTATCGTCCGTGCAGCCTGTGTCTTGGCAGCATTGTGATGACGACAGAGTCTCCGCTACAAAATGTGGCGTGTTTTTTATGCCTTTTTTCTTCACAAAGTCACATGATGAGGACATTTGCTCCACAGCTGTTGTTACGCATCATGTTTATCACTCAGCTTTGGTTCACATCAACCCCCAGCTGTTGTTTTGTACCTAGTAGATATGACTAAGAACATACATAGTACATTGTACTATGTATGTTCTTAGTCATATCTACTTTTTGTTTAATAAAAAAACAACCTCCGAGTAGTTTTATAAGATTAATCTGGACTGAAATGGAGGAAATAGAAGATATGACTATTCAAAACAAGTAGGAAGTAAATCTTTAAAATAGGTATTTTCTTATCGATGGAGAAAAATCATAAAACTGACCAAGGGAAGCTGTTTGATTAATTTTTTTTCCCCCACCAGTTCTCACAGACACGCAGGACATCAGTCCCCAGCTGTCAGAGGAGATGCTTTCCAGTCAATCCGAGCTGAGGTCCTCCAAGTGCCATCAGGACCGAGAGCTTCCCAGTATCCCGCCGAACAACGCCCTCATCAGAGACAGACCCCCGGCTTCAGAGGAGAGCACTTATGAGGTCAGTTTGTCAGTGTGAGAGAAGACGCAGCCCTCACGCTGAACTCGGGACGAGAGGAAATCAAAACTTTTATTGTTGGGCCGTTCCACTGAGCAATTGATTGTTTCATTGACTGAGCTGAGAAAAGGAATCAGGACAGGAAGGAATCGATGGTGTTTACGAGTAGACAATAAGGCGCAATGAAAATGCATATTGCTCGTTTACAAGCACGGCAAAAATGTTTTTTTTTCTTATTTTTTCTGATTCTCAGGTGGTGAAGGAAATGGCGACGGCGTCTCGTGACGTGAGCGTGGAGGACTCTCTGTACGAGACCGTCAAGGAGCTCAAAGACCCCCCCGCTCAACCTCACCTCCCCAACGGTACCGTCCAGCTGAGCCCCGACAAACCTCCAACCCCCCACGCCCCCGCCCTTCTCGGTGGCAACCCCAGCCCCTGCACTCCCGAGCGGGGGCCCCTGTGCGCGGGGGTGGAATACGCCTCTGTCGACCTGAACAAGAAGAGCCGCCACAGCGCCGACATGGAGGCCAAGAGGCGCTCGGATAACGCCGCCGTCCCCTCCCAGAAGCCTCCAGACGAACCGGAGGAGGAGCTACCTCCACCGGTGCCAGAGAAGGTCCTGGATGAAAATGACAACCAGCCAGTGGTGATGAATGGGCTGGCGGGGGCTGGGCTGCACAATGGAGAGGTGAGGGACTGTATGTGCGTATTGGGTTTCCCAAACCTGTAGATTTAAAACAGCTATGTAAGCCTTACACGAAGAACACTCTTTTTTTTTTTTTTTTTTTTTTACTGAAATGAGCCCACAAATCTGAAATGGATCAAAGCAAGCCATGTAGCAGGTTTGAGTAAGCATCCAAGCTGAAAACTCTTCTTCTTTTGATAGAGTGGCAGGAGGAAATTTAATGGCGTTGAAGGGAAATAAAGAGGCAGGAATGAAAATGAAAGCTGGGGTTAGAGTAGTAGGAGAAAGCAATAGATTGAAAAGAGATAGCGATTATGAGACGATGGGAGAACATTGCAAGGACTTTAAGGCATTAGAGTGAGAGACGGTGAGATAGAAAGAGGGTGAAAAAGGAGAGAAAGAAACCCAGGAGAATACAAATGAAGTCGTTTGGAGAAGCAAGTTAAATGTAAGGTGGGAAGAAGGTGGAGGGATTGTGAAAAGAAGCCACACGAGGAAAGAGAAAGGGTGCAAGAGGTGGATGTGTAGAGGAAGAGACAGGAGGGAAAAAGCAGAGGTGAGAACAGAAAAGAAGGAGTTGAGTGTCAGGCTGAACAGAACGCGGCATCAGACACACCGACTCCTATCAGGGAAACGCACTCAAACCAACAAAGTCTTTCCGAAAGCGTTAGATCACAGCAAACATCACACACTGTCCACAGCAAAGCTACTTGAAGCAACAGCTTTTTTTCATTTTCTAACTCTTCGCCTAAGCATCAGGCTCACTTTCACCTTCAGCAGTCGACAAGAATAATCTGACGTGCCAGTTCTCAGTTCATAAGACTCACTTGCTCATTGGCTTCTTACTGTAAAGAAAGGCCTCCCGAGCAGAAAGGGTCACAGCTCACGTGTATTATTCTGCTGGGCTTTGGCCCATACATCCCTGAAAAAGATGGATGGACCCCCGGTTGCATGTATCGCACAGTGTTTGGAAAATTTGTGTAGTGAAAAGAAGTGGGATAAATCTGCACACACTCGGCACGACAACGTGAAAACAATCTTTGTACATTTTTAGAAGACTGGAAACCCTTTGTAGTGAGTCAGAAATCGCACACGCTTGAGCTGTTGGTCATATTTTTAAGGTACGAAGTGTGTTGTGCGGTGTATTGAATGGCTTTCAATGTGTTGTTTTTTTAAGCTAGTGTGTGGTTTCCCTGGCATCCCCTCAAGAGCTGAATATCACCACAGCAGCCGGTGACTCAACAGGCTGTTGCCCACTCGTAATTTCCCCCTCAGTGCCCAAAAGGACTTACTTCCTGCATTTGCTATACAGATAATGGCACGGTGCTGGCAGGGCTTGTTAAATAACAGTTATCGGTAAGCACTCTCTTGGTTACTTAGCAAAACGTACTGTTAATGAGTATCATCTCCATTTCTAACAATAATCCTTGGTCTTTCATTTTTGCATACGCAGAAATATTTGAACTTGTTTATGAAATTGTAATGCGTTAAAATTCAGCCATTGTTGAGCCTAATTAATTGCAGTTAATGCATTAATTAATTTTTGCTTTACAGCACAGATGTCCTCGTCCCTTTGTCTGTAGTGTTGTACCTAATTAGTTGATCACTGCGGAAGAATCCAAGCATCAAAACAAAGCCTCATCTAGCTGTATTAAACGCTGACACACACACACACCCACCCACACACAGATACCCTGATTTGTATCTGTATACCAGCACGGACATATGCGCGGCACCTTCGCCCCATTTCACAAACACAGAGACAATGACATGTTTACATGAGCCTCCCCACCCCTGAGGCTGATTTAAGGTTACCAGTGAATGGTCCGGGCTCCTGCGGTTTACCCCCGTGTAGGACCGAGTTTACGTGGACCTATCGAACGCCATCTGTCCCCCATCACCGTGACAGTTAGTCTGGCTTCATGATGGATGACTTGGGCTGCAGAAACTCTGTCTCAGTCTTTTCCTGTCAGGCAGTCACACATAGAAAACACACACAAATCATATATGGATACACTGAGGCAAGGTGTAATGTAAATGTCAACATGGTGGCTGCTCAATAAACACCCCTCTCACACATACGGGCAGGCTTTCTTAAAATCCATTATTTCTGGGTTAACATTCACAGAAAACCCACAAAAATACATACTTACGCAGCTTCCTCGTGACCTTTTCTTCACCTTTTCTCTGATTCCTCTGTTATAAAACTGTTATAAACACTTGGTTGCGACTCCCGTGTGCCGCCTGTGGGCTTTTAATGCGAGGCTGAGGAAATTAATTTGACCCGCTGGTGGGCCGGGGGAACGTGCATCGGGGATGGCGTGCAGGTAAACAGCGACATCCAGCTTGTCAGCACTGCTGAGGACCTGTCGCTAAAGGCTATCTCGCTCAGAAGATTTGCGTATCGTCAGATTTAATCTGAAGCTGAGGCTTCAGCATCCACAATTACTCTTTTTTTTGTGATGTGTCACGTGAACGTGTCCGATCGTAAATCCGAGCTGATGTGTCCGTGCTGATTTTTGTTTGTGCGTGTCAACACGCTCACCTCAGACGTCCATCACCTGAGGTGGTTTGTAATCAGCTTACAGTCTTTCCTGCGCGCCCTGTGTGTCATTACGACTCTCGTGTCCGTACAGTATCGACACACACACAGAGTGGCTAATCTTCCCTCACATACGCAAGCATATCATGTCTTATTGTAAGATGCTGCCGCGTTAATCCCCTCAGATGTAGTCTCCCTTTGTGTTGGCGCTAAACAAACATCTGTTTACATACTTTTGTGAAACTTTGAATCAAGGGTTTCTGCGTAAAAGGGAGTTTTTACGAGTCCAATATTGTGCTCATATGCACTAAATGCAGAGAAAAACTGCATTTGTATCTTTCTAGTGACTAAGATAAAAACCCTCTTTCATTGTGGAAGTCCCTTTGTGTTGAGGACAAAGGAACCTCGTTTTTGACAAACAACATTTTTTCAATTTGAGGTGAGTTGACTGGGCCAAATTAACCTGTGTCCTTGTTTTCTTACAAATGCTCCTCGGGGGGGTTTCTGCCTAATTGGCTGGCTAATTAAAAGTGGAATGAAAAATGCATCTGTTGCATTGCTGAGTGTGTGTCGGATCTATAAACGTAATCATGTCTCCAAACACACGTTATCCATAAAGTACTCCTATTGATTTACACGCTTTTGAGGAGACGCCACCTATGAGGAGGCTAAAACATGCTGCCGTGCCCGACAGCTTGATGGATGATCCGTGCGCAGGAGGTTGTCCATTAGAGTGTAGCTTGTGCCGGGTTGGTCCTAAATGGACAAACTCGGAGCCTCGGGTTTCATTTGAATTCACCTTGGACCCTCCGACCAAGGACTAAATCTAAATTTCTGCCTTTTGCAGTAAGTGTAAGAAATGTAAAACAAAAGCGCAGGGTTTTTTTTTGTTTTCTCATCCATGTGACACACACTAGTTAGCGAGTTCTGGTGGATATTGAGATTCTTGTTAGACTCCTGAGGTGTTTTGTGCTGCTGTCAGATGTGCTTTGTTGATTAATGGCTCCCTTATTGATCATAAGACGAAGTGGACAGAGGCTGTGCGGAACAGCATCACATTCTCCGTCACTTCTTATTGACTTTAGCTCAGTAATTTTCCTAATGAATGGGTGGTTATATAGAACATCGGGTTTGAATGTACCAGGACAAAGCAGGAAAAAAAAAAACAGGAAATGTTGCTTTTCCACTGCTGAGAATCTTTCAGAATTCCAACATAGCTCCTTATGGTCTTAAAGAAGCTTACACTTTACACAGTTTACATTATTAGCTGTAAAAAGCCACCCGATTCTTTGACAACCTCTTATATGTTCCTGGCAGCCGCTTTGAAGTAAGCGCCACGTTTTGAGCCACAGACGTGCTTTTAACATCTGAGTTTCTCCATCTTTTCCTTCTTCCGCCTGCTGAATCTTTTGTTCTCTTTCCCACAGTTAAACTCCCCCCTGTCTCCTGCGCTGGGCTTCAACCACGAGGTGCTGTCAGACAATGAGGTAAGTGTGTGTCAAACTCACCTTATTCCCCAAAGTGCCTTTTTTAGTCCTGAAACAGCAGGAGGTTTTATGCGAATGCTAATGCACGGAATGGGTAAATATGACACGGGGGGGGAAAAAGAAAGAAACAAAGCGGTAAAAATAATTACGCACCATCAAACAGTGTGTTTCATTTTGTCCTTTCAGTCAGAAGTGTACTCTACGGTCAACAAAACAAACAGTGACGAAGCGATGGACGAGGAGGACAGAGAGCACGACTACAGCAGCATAGCCGAGCTCAACGGTCTGGTCCCGGCCTCCTCGTCCAGCGACCTGTACGCATCCGTGCGGGACATCTACTCCCAACCCGACGAGCCCCAGCCGGGGGAGGGCGCCGCCCCGGACGCCACAGATCCCGGCTACGAAACCATCCGCATCCCAAAGACTAATGGAGGCGAGGGAACAAACCCAGCCAAGGCGGAGCCCGACTACGAGTGCGTCGGAGAGCTGGGCCTCGATCGAGAAATGTCCCGTCTTTGAATCCCCACACACACACACACACACACACACCCCTCATCAACTTGTGGCGATGTAGTGGAAAGCTTCCTCAGCGATATCTATCTAAACAGACGGCCATATAGTGCTTTAAACCAGCTGTCAAGCATGCTTTTGGTGCATGACTTGGGGACAACTCCTCCCCGCTCCCACCATCAGAGTGCACATCGTCATGATAGCTTGGGTACGGTTTATCATATCCAAACGTCTTTAACTTATCAACCACGTTGAATGTGATCGGTACTGGTAGGCCTTAAGGACACTTGATTGTGAAAAACGAAAGAAAAAAAAATCTAATCAATCTCCATTCACAACACATATGCAGCATTTGGACTGTTAGTCAAGGGCACCGTCAATACTTGATTAATGAATTTGATTTATTCAGTGCCATAAAGTCATCTAAAATTCATCCTCTTGCTGTTCGTGTGAGGGTAAAATGGTTTTTCTGTCTTTTCTGCAGCAGCTAGTCTCTCCAGCTTCTCCTGTTTGCCTCAGTGTCATGTTTTATTGAGATGTCAGCTTGCGTATTTCGAAGCGTTTCTGTGTCAGGTCTGCAACCTCCCCGCTGTGTGTTCTCCGCTCGGAGATCCTGTGAGACGATTCTGGGCATGAAAAGTGAGAAATGGCAATTTGATCCGTAGTCAAACAAAGTTCCTACTAAATCAGCGACACCTCCAGGCTAACGGCGGTTAACCTGCTTACCTACGCTTGTGCGTATGAAGCGTAACGTGGTAGGATAAGAAGTTACCTTCAGAACAAAAATAAAAAATGGGACAAGGGAGGAATTTTGTATCTATCCAAAAGCATTATTAGAAATTTCACGGTCCATGTGAACAATTATTGTGAAAAATATATTTATTTGAAGTGTTTATTATTGTGTAATTGTGAATATTACAAATTATGTCTGTGAGACGGAAGTACATAGTATTTTATAGGACTTTCTATTATTTTCATTAAAATACTAAGTGGAAATGAATAATGCAGTTAGGTACGCATTCCTGTGACTATTTAAAGAATTTATTTTTTGAAAAAAAAAACACCTCATTTTGAGAACTTATTGCAGTCTTTTAAATTTTTTTTTTTTTTTACACAATACAAAGTACTTACTGATCTGAAATGACACCACAAAGTTGTGTTACTGTATTCTTTGCTCACCGTGTTTTAGCCCTTAGGTCTACACTTGGTACATCTTCAGCTGGCTCGCTCTAAAGCACAACGAACACGGTACTGCATTCAAAGGCCTCATCAACAGTATAATCACAGTTCGATTCCAGTTCTGCACAGTTTCAACACTTAATGCTTTCGAGAAAGGACTTCTCTGTGTGTAGTTTGTACTGACGACATGCCAACAAAGGCTTGTATATAGGTGGAGCATATTTTAGCCAACTGTTACTCGCTGGAAATTTTACGTAGAATTTTACTTCAATGTTCAATGTCCATTGTGTCTATAAGGTCTGTTCAGAGCACTGATGTATGTCCGAATTGTTTTAAGAAAACCTTATTGTCCAATGATTTTTGATATTTGTAACACCAGACGTATGGTACAAATCTGTCGGTACATGCCAATTAAAAAGAGCATGGTACTTTAATTTAAAAGCTAAACAAAATAATTTCCCAGTTCTGTGGATTATTTGTGGACGTTTCTTTTTTTTTTTTTTTGTAAATATTTTGTTCAAATGGTGTCTTCTCCCTTTGCAGCAGAAAATTGCTGTGACTTATCCCCCACCCCCCCATATAATGGGTCACATTAGCCAAGATTTACTGTTATTCCCTATTAAGAAACGAAACATTTGAGAAATTGCTCCCACAGAGTGATGTGGCTGCATGTTGGGCTGCTGACAGTGTTGAAGGACCTCTAAGGAAATGCCAAAGAGGACATTTTAGTGCCAAATCTAATCAGGACAACACATAGCCACCGTTATTAGACACTTTCCTTAATCACTTACACTCTTTAGCCCCTCAGTTATGTGAGCACAAGCAGTCGGCTCCCTTCAGGGATTCGGGGAGTGGTTTAGATCTGCAGAAGCCCCCTCTCATTTACCTCTATAGCCCTCCCCTAATGAGACCATTTGTTACCCCCAACAACCAATGGTGACACCCGTCTTTGATCAAACGGAAAAGCCTGATTTGGCAGTTACGCTTACATCTGTCACTCTTTTTGGCTGGTTTTCATTGTCTACATGTAAATATTTTATGATATGAATTGTTCTATTAAAATCAAAATATAATGAAACGTGTCACGTTGTCTTTTCCCTTGGATTTCCCCTTTGCGGGACAATTAAGGCTGTTTCCATTTATATTTCTGTTTCCTGACAGGCTGTACTTGACGCTACAGTTATAAAAAAACATTACATTTGACATTGATTAAAAAAAAATACAGAATGTGTCAGATTTTTAGTGGAATTGGACCAGTTTAATCTGAGATCTGATAGACGGAACAGTTTTTAATAGGTGAGCTTACATGGGCCTGGAGTCTGGACAGTGTAAAGGGAAAGAGTGGGGAAATCCTGTGGGTAAAACTGGCCGTCTGTTGACCTACCAGTGAAATCCGATGCGTCATTCATTGCTGGTCAGTGAATGAGTCAAGGAAAATCTAGAAGAATGCTGCAACAGTCCAATTCTTTTGTTGCGCTTTAATATTCTTCATAAGACTCTCTATAAAATGACCATTTCAAGACCTCTTTTCAGCATCTTGCTTCAGCCTTTGGTATTCCTCTGGTTTCTTATGTTCCTTCATTGGGGCATTGCTACCATATGGAATTGGAGGCTCTACCATTCCTGCCTTTCTCTGTAGTCTATAGATGAATGCATAGATATGCGTGTTTGTGTGTGTGTGTACACAATCCCACATGTCAAATCAAGCACAGCTTATCGGCACAAACACGACACACTTCTCTTTTAGTCAACCGCATAGGTTGACAAATACAGAAATGGGTGTGGGTTTTTTTGTGGTTTACCACCACAAGTATATCCTATGGTGGGATGTGGGAAATGCTGAGGAGGGAGTCGTTTTCAATTTTGTTTTATTTTGATCTTAAAAGTAAAGAAATGTAGAATAAGAGATCGTAAGGGCATTAAAGATCAAAAGGATTTTGCTGCCTGTGTCATTTTGTGGAATGTTGTTGTTGACCCATATCGAAAGTTAATGGCAAGCTAACTATTTTGTTACCTGTACAAAAAAAAACTTTAAAAATTATAGAGCTAAATGTTTTTTACATTTATAAAGGCATACCAGTAGTCCATTTCATTCTTTAACCAGATCACAGTCCCAGTCCCACGGCATCTGAAAAGTAGGTTATGTGCATGCACAACTAACTGGGTTGAGGCACAAAGCTTTTCTGTCTGGCTGAAGTTTTTCCTTTCCCCAGCCAAAATTTCTCCTTCTTGCTCTCTTTCCTTCTGCCTCTCCCCTCCACTACCCCCCCACCACCCCCCCTCCCTCCTCCCCTCTCACGTCTCCTTCCCAATCCCCCTTGCGTCATTGTTTTGAATGGAGCATCCTTCGGAGTTGCATTACCCTCTTTTGGAGGAGGCTGAGCGGGGAGAGACGTGGGGGGTGCCTTACCCCGTTGTGGGGGGGGGGGGGGGGGGGGGGGGGGGGGGGGGGGGCTGTGGAGGCGTGTGCTGCGCCGACCAATGGCAGCCCGCCTCGGCCGCCGGACCGCACATGTTTACAGGCAGCATTCCGCCGGTAGAGGAGCTGCTCGGCCGGAGTGCCCCACGGACTGGAGTCACAGCATTTGGAACCGGAGTCGAGTAACGGCGGCATTTTTCGGCGGTTTCCGAAACGTCTGGCGACGGTGCGAAGCGCGCGTGCCGGCGCAGTGGGATAACTCGACGCCCTGGCTCGCGCTCTACTGCCCCGGGCTCGTTTTTTAGACCGAAACCCGCCATTTTGCTTCATCGTGAACGCCCGTCCCGTCGGCTCCCGGCGGTGGTCGGCGGTCCGCGTTTTGTCGCCGCCCCTCCAGCTCTCAGGGAGCAGTGGGGAAAACAAACAGGTCGACCGGAGGAAGGTTGGTAGCCGGTCGGATGTGGAGGCTGTTTGGCGGCGATAGAGCGGCGTCCGTGTCGCCTTTTCCCGGGTGCTGAACTTAGAGTTCCTCGGTCCGTGGTGCTTGTTTGAGTTCGGTGCGTTCGGGACCATTTTTAATAGTTTTTCGCCCCCTTCCCCACCCGAGTATGTTGCCGCTTTCTAACATTTTGTCGGGCTTCCTGCAGCATTTAGTGTACCCTCGTCGGTTTTGCGTTTTGCCCGACGTTGTTTACCGGCTGTGAATTCGACGTTTGGTTGATTTGAGGTCGCCGGTCGCCGCCGGCTTCGAATATTAGCTAAACCAGCGACACTTTTTTTTTTTTGCCGACATGCATACGAGGCGCCTGGTCAAGCGCTCCATCCTCGGCAGCCGCGTTTACGCCCCGAGTCCGACGGGGGACGGACTCCCGGTGACGGGGGTGGTCCAGGCTGTCAAGCAGGAGGACAGGGACGCGGCGGCGGCCGCCGGGGCCCGGCGCAGCGTCTACACGGTGCTCATGCAGGACGGGAGCCTGAAGGAGTTCACCGAGGAGGAGCTAGCAACCGGCCACACCGCGACCAAGGGACCGCTCAAGTCCAGCCGGAAGGTGTGTGCATGTATATGTGTGTGTATGAACGTGTGTCCGAGGCGTAGTGGGCCTCCCGGCCGGCCGGCAGGCAGGCTGAGCATAGCCGTTGTTGTTTTTTTGCTTTTTTGTTTTTGTTTTTTTTGGTACCGTTTAACCGCTTCCTGCTTGGAGCGGATTGAGCGGCGTCACCGTTTTTTTTTTTCCCGCCTCACGGACCGGGAACGAACCCGGCTAGGACAAAACGGGGCATCTGTCAGAATACGATAAATGTCGATAGATACGATAAATTGAAGCAAAAAATAATTAAAAAATAGAGAAAAATAATGGGGCTGTCATGACAGTTGGCGACAACAGATGTGTGGGACAAAGGGCTCGACGGGGCCTGCGCAATGTTTATGTGGGCTGGAGGATGAGGAGGCAAACAAACGAGCCCTGAATGCAGCGGTTTGCACCGACGTGAGGGGCTTTTCCCGGTTTTATTTTATTTTTTACACACTGACAGTTGTCTCAGGAGGTTTCATGCGCGCGTGCATGCACGTTCGAATCCAAACATCACACACCGAACCGGGCTGGTTTCATTCAGGGATGCTGCGGCTTAACCAAATCCGAAAAAAAAAAACGTGGCTCTCAGTGGATGGATCCTGCGCGGGGCTGTCATTGTTTAAAAATAGAATCGTGTGGGCTTCCTGTGGCATCAGAGAGGAGATAGTGAGTGTAGATTAGTTCCTAATTTGCGGACGTGCAGTAGGCCAGATTGCCTTCAAATCCAGCTTTAAGTGTTCTGCTGTCATAAGAGCTGTATGAGCCATACCAGCTTTTGGGTTGAAAACACCATATCTGTCATGGAGGAAGTGTGTTTTGTTCTCTTTCTGACTGAATATCAGCTCTGATTGCCTGTTTTTATATAAATATATGCTTAGTTTTGAGCTGGGTTTAGGTTTTTAGACCAAAAAGGACAACCGAGGTCACTTTTGTTTCCACACATTCTAAACCGGCCATGCATCTTTTGGAAACTTTTGGTTTTGGTGATTTGCACGTGCACGTCGGCGTGCACACGCAGAGGCTGTTGCACATCCCATGCCACCGTCCCAGGGCCAGGGCGGGCACCAGGAGGGCAGTAGAGTGTTTTTTTTTCGGTCAGCACAATGGTCAAGCCTCTTGTAGTGTGACTCAATTCCTGCTGATGTCGAAAACAAGCCATAAAACCGGGAGGAGGATGGGGGGGGGGGAGCCTGCCCATGTGGATCTTTGTGCTGCTGTAAGAGAGTCTCCCGGAGCAAGAATGTGATTTTCCTCTGGTGTGTTTTTGTGAGGTCTTGGCTGCTTATAGTTTCAGAACGGGGTCGGGTGGGGCTAGGGGTGTGTGTGTGTGTGGGGGGGGGGGTTGTTTGTGAGAGCACGCCGCCCCATTAGAGCAGCTGGACAGCCCGTAAAGTGGACACCCCCGTGTTGGCAACGGGACGCACGCTGCAAAGAATCCGAACGCCTGGCACTTTGCCCGGTTGTGAAAATGATTGTCTCCTTTTTTTAATGAATTCCTTTTCTCTTTTTTGCCAAAAAGGGGACGTCAGAATGCCACTTGTTGACAAGTTGGTTTGTAGACGTGTGTGTTAGAGGCAGAACACATCTCGATTAGACAAAAGTGTTGCGTGTGTTGTGTATTTTTGCTGATGCTCGTTGTTTGTGGTGAGCGCAAGGCGGTGGGTGATGGAAAGCTGTTGCCAGAGGCTGAGCCATTCTTTGTTCTGAGACACAGATCTCAGGCTGACCGGTGCCTGCTGTCCCCATTAAGTGGCCGAGCGACATCGGTGTATTACTAATCTTAAAGGATGACTTAGGCAGATGTGTTTGTGTGTGTCTATCTAACCACAAACGCGCGCATGTTGAGAAACATTTAATTTCTCGATGGCAAGCTCACTCCTGTCCTTTTAACAGATCCCATTTAATGTGCAAAATAACAAAAGACCATCAGAAGTTATATGAATGTCGATTTCTGTGAGAGGAATGAATCCTTTGTTGCACAAAGGGCGACAGGGGAAAAATAATTTAGTTTCAATTGTTTATTTTTGACTAAAAATAATAGGGCTGCTGCAAATCAATTAGTGGATGATGCAAGTTTGTACCAATAAACTAATGCGTAAAGATTAAATTATTATTTTTTCTTGTTTCACAAGCATTTTCAATTCAAGTTGCACGCTCAGTATGGGCTGTAAAATCATGATATGAGTTTTCAACTTTCAGACATTTGCGCCAGCCTGTTGGGATCTCATAAAATCGCATCTCTTGCTGTGTTGTGTTCTTTTAAAAACTTTGGTGTCAAACGCTCCATCAAAGCGGCGTTAGGGGCCCAGATGCTGAACAAGTACAGATGCCTCTTGAGTTACCAGACTCTGTGTCACTATCTGCCGGGACCCCCTGGCTGCTGATGACCCTGTGGCTCTGCGCTACGGACCAAACGTCGGTCCAACGCAAACACGCCCAGTGTTTGTGCGTCTGAGTGGGAAAACGCAGAGTTTTGACATAGGAAACTTAGATTTCAGCATTGATTTGGCCCGATGCTGGCTTGATGGGAGCATGAGCATCCTTTAAACACGACCCGCCGCAGACCATCCCGTTATCTCACTCAAGTCTCACCGCGCGTTTTGCGCGTTTTACGCATTCCCCCCGATCAGAAGCGTCCTACGATTCCCGTCTCCAGGGGTCTTTTCTTTCCGGTTTGACCCCGGCAAACAGGTAGAGGTTTCCCGTTGCGTTTGTCAGAGTGCAGCTGCTTTTTTCTCCTTTTCTACCACAGTCAAGACTAATCACGCAGAGATAAGGATCTAGATCACACACGCGGGCCCGAGCCGCGCCGTCCTCAGCACACAACAAAGCTGCAGGGGCGCGCGCGAGTGTGTGTGGGTGTGTGTGTGTGTCGCCGCCGATGTTTTGTTGGGTGTTTCGAAAACCTCTAGGAGGTGTTTTGGCGTGTGCGTGGGTGCGCGCGCCAATGCGTGTGTCGACTCCTCTTTTTCTCACTGTTGTGTAAGACGTTTTGATTTATTTTATTTTCTTTACACCACAGCTAGGTGTATGCAAAGGTTTTTTTTTGCCGTCCCCTCTATACGCTGCCAGCTGTGTGGTAAAGTTGTATCAAAGCAGCCTTTGTGGACGCACGACCTTTTTACTTACTTTCACTGAGTCCACGTGGGTTATATCCACCTGTATCTTACAGCCATCTTATGGCAATACACAACAAGATTAATATACCTGCTCACAGCACAGCATAAAAGCCAACTGATCTGATATCAGTCATCAAGGTTTGACATGATGGGAGTGTGACCTGCATTTAGTGCAAGCAGACTCATTAAATCTCCTTATCACCATGTCATTATATATTGCTGAAAACAACAAGCCACAGTCAGTCGTAATCAGAACATGACTGCTGATGTACTCTGTCTAAAAGTCAGTTATTTGATTGGACACTGTTTAAAATGGACCATAAAGGTGGATGGAGCTGGGCCTTGAATCACAGAAGCTAGTTTTTTACTGCGGATTCCGAAAACATCCACAGGACCAAGAACAACAGTGCGATTTTGCAACTGACCGCTGCGCCGTTTAGGGGTTTATCCAGTGTGTTTTGGAAGGATAAATTTAGGTGCAAGAGTCTAACCAGTTTTCAGAGTTATAGTCTGCTCCTTTATTTGAAATGTAGGTATTTTAAGTTGGTCAGGCAGACCCAGGCTCTAAACGTGGTCCTGTGCTAAAAAAACTCTTTGTGTTAATGTGGTGATATTGTGACAGTCGACTGAAAAACAACATGTTTTTTTTAGAATAGATTTTTTTTTCTTCAGTATGTGGCAATACGTGTCCATTACACTGTGCCTGTTGGGTTTAGTGTCCATGGCGTACCGGTTTGTTTTTGTGGTTTTTCTGACTTATTCCCCTTTCACCCCCCCTCCCTTTTCCCCTGCAACAGAGTGCGACTAATGGAGCTCTGGACCATCAGAGGTTGGACGGCGGCTGCCGGAGCCCAGAGGCCGTGGAGGAGCAGCGGTTGGTGGATGGCAAACGGGCCAGCCGGGATCCAGACACCCGATCGGTGTCCCTGCTGGAGCAGAAGCGCAAAGTAGTCTCCTCCAGCATCGACGTCCCACATGCCAGGTTCGGCCAAGCGTGTGTGTCTGTATGTTGCATGTGTATTTGTGTGTGTGTGTGTGTGTAAGTATCGGATATCATCCCTTCAAGGGAGTTGGGTAGAAATTCTGCAAAGTTCATAGAGAGTTTATGACATAGATATGTCATATCATAAATAGGACAGGATTTATTTGGACTGACATCCCATTTTGCATCTTATCCAATAAGCTTTTTTGGCACTTGAACTTCATTGATTACAATGTAATTTGACAAGAGTTCAGTTCATTTCTACACACCCATACACACACATATATATATATCTATATATATATATGTACAATTTGTTGGTACTGCAATTTGTTGTTCCTTTACTCTCTTTGATTCTCTAAACACAATTTCTGTTTATTATTATTTTCAGATGGTAAGCATAATCATAAGTGTAGTAAAATATTAATAGTATTCGATGCCAGCAGCTTTCTTTGACTTCTAAATATGAAACATTGATACCCCGTTATGCACAATGCTCTTATTGAATCTCCCTCTCTATTACTTGATGCTAGGGGAGTCAAATCGATGGCAACTTGCTGAAAAGTACAGTATTAGTCAGCAGCTTCATGACCACCTCCTGACCTATTCCCCTAAATGCAATAGTTATTTGATTAAAATCTGTCTGGTTGCCGATTAAGTGGAAAATTCTTCTTTGAAATTTAATCTATCAAATGGATTGGACAGAAGTTGCACACCTGCCTCATTATAAATACCTCCCTGCATATGGATTACAAAAGCATTGGTAATTATTCAGGCCATCGTCAGATGGTGTATTGATTCATTCTGTGAACATGGACAAGTTCAGTTGAAGGTTTTAGAAGCCAACTTCTGATTTACACCCATATGAGATGACAGAGAAGAGCTGTGAGTTCAGTGTTTTCTCAAGATCCAGTTATCTCCATGAATCTGATAAGATTTTATTTATTTGTATAT